TACATAATTAACGGAAAAGTTCGTTTAGAATGAGAGAAATATTACCAATGTATTTATTAAGATGACTACGCGAAATTCAAATGTTCTAGTTCGCTAATTCTGGCAATAAATACCATGCATATTCGGTTTCTCCACGTGAAATTTATAGTTGAATAACATTTAATTAGTGGTCATTTCTTGCTTACTCAAATGTAATTTCCTTAAATTACTCTACGAAGAACTACATTTTTGATAAATTAAGTCTATCTTAAAGCAATTTAAATTTCGCGCGCAATACTTGATTCGTCGCGTACCTCAAGTACATTAAATTCAATAATAAATATCACTAGGATGCATTTTTTTACGAGTAATTCATGGTATAACAATATTTAACCATTGTTTGTTCCTTTTTTTCATTTAAGTAGATTTCTATCAGCTCACCTGCAAACATTTACATTCACCTAAACAACATACAATCCCGGTTGGCCTCGAAGCGGTTCAAAAAACGCGCACAATATTTGATTCGCCGCGAAACTCGCGAAGGCGCGTGAATCGGTCTTCGGATCCGCCAATCGGACTCGGTCATGTCCGTTCGTGCCCGGTCGTGAGTCCTCGAGCATTCACGGAGTTAAACCACGCCCATCGGCTGCTGATCAGAGAGGGAAGCTGGTAATTCACTCTGCGAGGCAGCAATATGAGCGTTTGTACCGTTTCTTGAAAGAACGCGCGACGTGACGAAATTCCAGAGCCGTAAAATCGCGCGTCGAAAGTGTCATCGGATCGCGTGCCGTTCGCGAATTCAGTGGGTGTCTCAGTGTCGTGATTAGTTTCACCCCGTACACGTGGATACGATTTTTGGTTAGTTTTTTCTCGGTGATCTGGAAGGATATCGTCGCCAGTCAGATCATTCGCCCCGAGGAATTGCCTTCGGTGAGTACGAGTAACAGCGGATTTGATGAAAGCGCGCGTGTTTCCATGCGATTTTTTGTTTCCTTTGGCCGAGCTCTTGCACATATTGCCGACAGACTGTGCGAACGATGTCGCCAACACATGTCGCGTCTTTAACGTGCGAAATAATCGATTTCGAGTGTTCCCATCGTCGGTCTCGTTCATTCCGGTCAAACAACATCGTTACTCGTTAAGCCAAAAGTATGGATTAATTTGACAAAAATCTGCTGTCATAGAAAAGTCACTAGACCGTACGCATCCGATTACAGTTTTTCCTTGTTTACGGTTCACGTTCACACCGTGCTCCGAAAGGGATGTAGGTAAGAGCGACGCGACGGTGACGTGAATTTACAAATATAAAACGATGTCAAGGTGGGAATTAACAAAATCTTTCCGGGTAACACAGTTTCCTTGATGATACGGTGGTGTCATTAGGTTAACCCACATCCTCCGCCGATGCAACTCAATTAAACGGTTTATCATTGGCTAACAATTAGTTTTAAGTTCATCCTTTAACAGGCCGTCTCGATACGGTGTGGAAAAAGATCTCAGACGTCCACTGCCCCGGCAAACGGGGGAGAGAGAGCCAGGAAAGAGAAATAGGTCGATAGTTGTAGATTCGGTTTCCACCTGACAGCTAGATCAAATATCGGATCATAAATCACGTTTATCCGTCGCTGCGTATCTAGGATTTTTCGCTAGAAAGCGCGCATCGTAAATTGGCCAACCTGTCATTCCTTGTCTCACAACAGCTCATTCGAATCTGTATCGTTACTTACGTTATTGATTCGGTTGTTTTCTTCCTCCGGTTCCGTTTGACTTTTATTTTAGGCGGTCGTTCGTACTGTCAACCGCGTCGTGTCATAGTCGGTACGGCTACAATACATTGGAGAGAAGGCCAATGATTCTTCTAACAATGAAACCATGCGAGTGATTGACCGCAGCTGGGATGTTGTTAAATCGTCGTTATTTACAATTGATTCAATTTACGAGTTTACTTATTTTAGCCTAACGGTAACAATCCATTCGTGCAAAAAATACCGTGGATATAAACAACAGATCGATGAACCGTCGATTTTCTCAATGAAACAACGCAGAATTTCACCGATTCTAAAAAGTAACTAGGATATAGAATACCTTAAATATTGTTTTTATTCAATATCGCTTCCACACATATGAGCGTAAGAGCGACCGGTATTTTGTAGTAATTGGAAGGAATTGTAATATATTTCTTCGAAAAACGCATTAATGAATGAATGCTCGGTCAGACATGTTGAATAAAATTTCACGTTTGTTGAGCACGAGGTAGGTGAATTCTAGTTCACACTAAATAAGTCGGAGTACTCGAAAGGAGCAAAATCCTCGGAGCCCCGACCGTTTAGATGTTGTATAAATTGGCGACTATCCAAGTTTCCGTACTCTCACCACGTTCTCAGTCTCGAGACCACGCTATCGCATTCCCTGTTAGCGTACGAACGTGCTGTCTTTCCGCATGATTTTACGCGAACCCATTCTACAGTCCGTGTACCGGGCTTTAGATACAAATGGCCGTCGATAAAACCAACCCCCTCCGAATCCCTTTCGTTTCAAACTCTCAAAAAAATATCCATCCTTAAGCAAGTAAATAACATTGCTGAAAAATTGATAAGCTTCCACATTGTTCTCATTCGATTTATCTCTGGATATATCGATGATTTCATAGCCACAATTAGATCTGGTAACTGTAAATTACGAAATGAANATGCCGAATGAGTTTTAGCTAATTTCATTCGAACGTTTTCTTTCGCTCGATCCTTTTCACGCTGACCACCCTGTATAGGAAATTGAGATGCCGAATCGCACCTCGACGACCATCTGTATTCTCATAGGACGTCATTGGTTTAAAGCAATGTTGACACTAGAAATGCTAACGCGCCGCTTATTGCGATTCTCAATGGTAGGCCTGCGCCCCTAACTCATTTCCAGGACCATTATCACCGCAGGCAAACCGCAAAGATCATTTACACGTATCCCAGTCGTCGTGGCATTCACTTTCTTACTCGCGAGCAATGTCGTTATCAAATTTTCTAATGACTTAATGTAGAGCGACTTGAAACAACACTATATGCGTTTAAAATAAAAAGGAATACGTATTACAATATATTATATATTATATATATATATATATATATACTATTATATATACTATTATTACTAGTATATATTATTATATATTATTACTAGTATATATTATTATATATTATACTAGTATATATTATATATACTATTATATATTACAATGGAATATATATTCTATTTTATTTGTAATACGTATTCCTTTTTATTTTAAATGCATATAGTGTTGTTTCAAGTCGCTCTACATTAAGTCATTAGAAAATTTGATAACGACATTGCTCGCGAGTAAGAAAGTGAATGCCACGACGACTGGGATACGTGTAAATGATCTTTGCGGTTTGCCTGCGGTGATAATGGTCCTGGAAATGAGTTAGGGGCGCAGGCCTACCATTGAGAATCGCAATAAGCGGCGCGTTAGCATTTCTAGTGTCAACATTGCTTTAAACCAATGACGTCCTATGAGAATACAGATGGTCGTCGAGGTGCGATTCGGCATCTCAATTTCCTATACAGGGTGGTCAGCGTGAAAAGGATCGAGCGAAAGAAAACGTTCGAATGAAATTAGCTAAAACTCATTCGGCATACATATAGGACGAGATGTGTTGTTCGCTGTTACACCGGATTATAATATATTTGAGGATACCCCTTTTCTCTTTCCTTAATGTCTTTCCGTCTCATTTACCTTTCCCGTGCAGCTTAGAAAGCCCACCTGTTGAAATCGATGTTCTCTCTTTCTAGAGGAACGCAGAAAACCCATAAAAAGTGAAAATCTAACGTGCGGAGCTTACTGATTTCTTGCATGCCTGTGGAATCGCTAAACTAAATGTTACCGAACGAAAATGAAATGAGAAAGTTCTATCTGGAAGTGCAACATATGATAACTAGCGTCTGCCGATACGATTCACGTAGGAACAACAAAATTCATCAAATATTTGCACGCAATTTATACAATATCATTTCTCCGTATTGTCTGGAAAATCGTTCCAGTATATTTAACTTGTTTATAATCTTATTTACTAAAATATTAGTAAGATCTAACGAACTAGTAATCGGCGCGACGTTAAACATCTATTGAGAAAAAGAAACTGTCGCAAATCAATTATTGCTCGTATCCCTTTACTATACTTTCTTTAACAATTCTCCATGTTATGCAAATTTCAAAATGATTTATGCATTTGCTTGCATGGAAGAGGCTCAAGAGATCCCATGGATAGACGCTTTCAGAGGGTGCATCCTCGACTAAAATTGATTTTTCCGATCCCCTAAGCTGGTAAGTCCCCTAGGTTCCCATGATTTCAATCGCGAACCTGTAACGCTTGTTTTGAGACCGCCTCTATAGTGACGGCTAGATCACGTAACGCGCATTAATTATCCGAAAGGACGTTGCGCGAGTAATGTCGGGCACGATAGCGAACGGAACGCCTGATGGTATGCGAAGTCTTTTTGACCCTTTACGGCTTAGGGGCTTGCGGGTTGGTGTCGGTGGTCACCGCGCGCGTGCGGGCCACTGCCCGATAAGGCGAACGTCGGCGTTGCATTCATCGCTTTTGGCTGCCGTTTCTTCTTCGAAAAATCGACTGTCCTATAAAATACAAGGATCGTGAAGTTACCATGTTTCACACGAATCGATCGGCCATCGGCATCCATTTTTCCGGGAACATCGGCGCCATCGCGATCGCGCCGAGTCGAGACGCACAACACCGTCTTTTCCTCTTTCTCACAGGTGTGCTCTTTCGTAACCGCGGAAAGATCGTAGCTCGTAGCCGCCGCCGTCGCCGTCGCCGCTGAAAAGTGAAAAGCGAGGCGACCGTGCCAGATAAGATTTGATTTTGTCGCGCACAGGTACGCGATCGCCCCGATAGATCGTTTTTATTCCGGGAGCTATTCTTT